TGAAGAGGAAAAAAGGTTGCCTGGGCCTGGGCTCACCCGACAGCACATGGCCAAAAACCAGTTGTTGTCCCAACATACACACCATGATTTTCTTCTATCAGCTCTTTGTTGTAAGAAATAAGCAACAGAAAAGCCAATTCAGGACAGATATTTGCTATTTAGACAATTACAACATCCAAGTATTGGCAAGAAAGATACCCAGCAGATGACAGAGCAGGAGCCCAGTGTTTATTCTCCCAACTTGAATCCTTTGGTTCAGATGCCAAAAAAAAAGAAAAAGAAAAAATGGCTGGGGGAACAGTCATCTGTGGAAACTCCACCCACATTTTAATTACTGGATGGCCTCTCCCTCCTTCTTGTGCCTGAAAGGGGGTTGAAGTGAGGGGAAAGCCCAGAGACCTGCCATGCACAACTCCCACCCAATGGACAAGGGAATTTAAAGTTCAGGCTGGAGGAACTAATCATGCTAAGTCATCACAAAGATGCTAGGAGGGCTGGAGCAGCTCTGGAGACAGGCAGAGAGAGTTGGGGTGTTCAGCCTGAAGAAGAGAAGGCTCCAGGGAGACCTGAGAGCACCTTCCAGTGCCTGAAGGGGCTCCAGGAAAGCTGGGCAGGGGCTTGGGACAAGGGCAGGGAGGGATGGGAGCAGGGGGAAGGGTTTCCAGCTGGCAGAGGGAGCTGGAGCTGAGATGTGAGGGAGAAATTCTGGGCTGTGAGGGTGGGGAGCCCCTGGCCCAGGTTGCCCAGGGAAGTTGTGGCTGGCCCAGCCCTGGCAGTGCTGAAGGGCAGGTTGGATGGGGCTTGGAGCAGCCTGGGCTGCTGGGAGGTGTCCCTGCCCATGCAGGGGGGTTGGATATAGATGGGCTTTAAGGCCCCTTCCAAAAAATTCCATGATTCTATGATTATCATAGAATCATACAATGTGTGGGGCTGTAAGGGACCTTTAAATGTCTTCTAGTCCAGTCCACCCTTCAGTGAGCAGGGACTAGATCAGGCTGCTCAGAGCCTGGTTGAGCCTGACCTTGAATGTCTCCAGGGATGGGGCAGCCACAGCTTCTCTGGGCAACCTGTTCCAGTGCTTCACCACCCTCACTGTAACTAAATTCTTCCTAATGTCTAATCTACATCTCCCCTGATCTAGTTTAAGACCATTTCCCCTCATCCTATCGTTACACACCCTTATTAACAGTCCCTCCCCAGCTTTCCTGGAGCCCCTTCAGGCACTGGAAGGTGCTCTAAGGTCTCCCTGGAGCCATCTCCTCTCCCAGGCTGAACATCCCCAGCTCTCTCAGCCTGTCTCCAGAGCAGAGCTGCTCCAGGCCTCAGATGATTTTGGTGACCCTTCTCTGGACTCATTCCAACATGTCCATGTCCCTCTTGTGTTGATGACTGGGGTAAGTGTCTGAATATTGAGCTTCATATAGACAAGTCTCAAACACATGGCTGCCAAATGGATCAGCCCCTGTGCAGAAGTTGTGCAGCCACTTCAAACCTGTCAGCAGCTTCATCAGGCTCATGACCCAAAGCAAGTGTAACTCAGTGTTACCTGAGTGGAGTAACAACTCTCAGCAAAGTAATTATCTCCCAAGTTCTCCTTCCCTCCAAAAAGAGCCTAAAAAGTTTAATAGGAGGAAAAGGGAAAAAAGGAACTCTTCAATATTAATGGCACATTAATATTAAGCACCTAATGGTCAAGAAGTCCAACACCTTCAGGCTGTTCTATCAACATTCATTTGTCTCCTCTGAGCAACACATCATTTTCTATTCCTCTTTGCTATGGTCAAGCACTTGAGCTCTTCCTGTTCATGTTCTGCCCTAACACAAGCCCTGCATGAAGACACCTGGATGAACAGGCCACAACTGCACTAGAAATGCTGCACTGCTCTACCATCCCACCAGAGCAAATTCAGTGTGGGACATTCCCTAGTTTCTGAGTGGTTATTAAATGTCTAATCAAATGAGTAGTTTGGAGTTCACTGCTAACAGCTGCAGGTCTAACATTTGTGATGAGAGCAGCCCAAAAAACCCCAAGAGAACTGCTACCACCACTCTGCCACTTTGCATTTTCTCTCTATGACCATCACTGATCCTTCAATGACAACACAGCAATTCCCAGAAGCAGGTGTTTCTGAGTACAGACCATTGGGAAGCACCAAAGTCTCAGGTCCATTTGGGTCTGAAAAGGGAACTGGAGAGTCAAGAGATGAACAGGCCTTTGTGCTACACACTTGGGAAAGGCAGGAAAAAAGCCTGTTGGACAGGACAAACAAGAAAGATGCCTTTTGCACCCACACTGCAGTGAAGCAGGACATGCTCCTCCCCAGCTGTCCTTCCATCCTCAGGCCTGCTGCACACATTGTGTCCAGCCCAGGATGCTGAAGCTCCCTGAGGATGCAGGAGTGCTGGGTGCTCACTCACCACACAGGCCACCATGAACCATCCAGCTTTTGAAAGGACTTGTTAGCTGGGTGTTGTGTATCTTCAGATTCATGACAACTAACTCCTCAAGGTTAGTCACTCAGGTGGCTCAGGACCAGCTTGCTCCCAGCAATGGGTGTTGCTTTGACATTAAGCCAGAGACTTAACATCAGCCTCTCTGCTCCACTGTTGACACTAGGAAGAAATTCTTGGCTGTGGAGGGTGGTGAGAGACTGGAACACATTGCCCAGAGAAGCTGTGGCTGCCCCATCCCTGGCAGTGTTGAAGGGCAGGTTGGATGGGGCTTGGAGCAGCCTGGGCTGCTGGGGGGTGTCCCTGCCCATGCAGGGGGTTGGAACCAGATGATCTTTAAGGTCCTTCCAACCCAAACCATTCCAGGATTCTATGATTCATGCCCCACTCTGCTCCCAGTAACACCTCTGAACCCCATCAACTTCCTTCACTCATCTTGCGAGAAATGGCAACACTTACAAACTCCACCACCTGATTAACACCCTCATTTTGCAAAGAGAAATAAAAACAATCCTCCCAAGCCCTCCCAGAGAACCCAAGAGTTGGGAATCCAACCCACAAGTCTCCACGCATTCCCAGCTCACTACAGGAATGCTGTGAAACCAGAAGACACCTCCCACTATAATGATACATTATGGGGCATCAAAGGTGAGTGATGTCTGAGCTCCTCCAAGCCCTGTCAGCTGGGCTCTCCCATCAGGCTTTGGGATGTTGCCTTGAAAATATCTCTGCCCCATCCAGCATCTAAGAACCTCTCTGAATGAGGTCTCCTTGGGAAAAAAATAAAAAAGAATCCTAGGACATGTAGGAACCATCCAGCAATAACTCTACAGCAGTTGAAGCCAGAGCATGAGAAGAGTTCAACACACTGAGCTGCAAATTCACTGCCTAGGATCAAACCCTCTCCAAGAAGAGCCTTAAGTTATAAAGGATTTCAAGTTCTAAACTCAATTTTAAGCCAAGGAACCAAACCCACAGGTTTTATGAAGGTGGACATCTGCTGGACTGATCTCAGGATACCTCCAGATGATGACAGAGCAGAGGTGGGATGACCAGCAACCACCTACCTGGATGATACCAGCATTTAGCACTTCGTGTCCCAGCAGTGAAGTGAAAATGAGTGTGGGGAAAAAAAAATATTACAAGAACTTTCAAACTTACACCCTTTTGTGACACGAGCAGTGATGGGCCAAGGGGTAATGGTTTTAAATTGAAAGGGGAGATTTAGGTTAGACTTCAAGAAGAAATTCTTCACCATGAGGGTGGTGTGGTCTCTGGTTTCAGAGACCACAGAAGAGCAACCACAACACAAGTACCACCAAGACCTCCAACTGTTTGTGCTGCCTTCACACACCACGTGGCAACTTCAATACAACGTCTGGAGGTGCAGCCCTCACTTCTCCAGACACTACAAGCTTTGCTGACATCCTGAAATGGAGCAAGACTCAGGCCCAAAACCAGGCAACTGCTTGAATGCTGGACCATCAACACCACTGTGCATCTCATTCCTCCCTGTCTTTCCCATGAGTCACTTCCCACCCTCCTGAAGCACCAGATCCAAAATTCTCCTCCCAGAGATCCCCACCAACCCCCTCCTTCAAACACACAAGTGAAGAGAAAACTCTTTTTTCTCCTCCTCCCACAAAAACCTTTTCCCTTTCCTGGACTGCAAACTTCTGCTCTTATCTTTTCATCCATGGAGACACAGCAAGATCCCCAGGCAGAGATGTTGGCCCATCAAGTAACTGTGACCAAACTGTGTGGAAGTTTGGTAGTTGAAAGGCAGAACAGGAAACCACACAAGTGTCTTCCTGAAAACAAAGACTCAACAGCTTCACCTTTGGAGGCAATCTCAGCTACATGGTAGCCCCACAGCTCTCCTCACTCAACTGATACCTCCCTGCACCTGAACCACAGGGAGGTGAAGCCACTTGTCCACGGTAATACCCCCACTGAAGAGCAGAACCAGACTCCAAGCCAGAGCCATCCCAAAAACAGGTCACACACATGTAGGGGCAGCTCTCCAAGCCCCAAAAACCTGGTTTCTGTTCTGAGAAGTTCCAACCTGAGGCAGCAGGATGTGGGCACAAACTGCCTGTTCACAAAATACCCAGGATTCCTCTAACAATCATCATTTTAAACAAATTAAGTACAAAACCCAGAGGCCTGCAGATATGGCAGGTGCATTAGGAAGGTCTGGAGTTGCTAGGGGAGCATCTCATGACACGCACAAGCTTTTGCCCAGTGCAAAAAGAGAGATTAGTCTTATTGCCTCTGCCATTCTTCTCCAGCAAAACCACATTAAATGCAAGAAGGAGCTTTAAAATGGCCCTGTCTGGAGATGTCAAAGCACAGGACAGCTCTGGGCTAAGGCAGAATCTCACTCCAGCCAAACTTCTGCCCCTCAGCGTTTGCTCCTAGACCAACAACAGCAGATTCACCTCCTGGAGGACCTGGTCAATCATTTCCAAATCCAAGAGGCTCTCTTGGAATCCCCAGCATGTGGTCAGCAAGCAGCATCAGTCATCCCTGGGGATGGCTTTTCCTACCTTCCTTGGTGGACACCTGCATCCTGGTGGCTGGCAGCCTGCAGAGCCTGTGCTTGGTGATCTGCACCAGGCCCTTGGGTGAGGAGCGTTTTGGTGGCACAGGTTTCCCTCTCAAGGAGTTTTTCTTCCTGAGATGGAAGTGGCTCTTCAGGGGGGTGGTGGGCGAGGAGTTGTTCTTCTTCTCAGTGGGGGCACTGCCAAGGGGAACAGCACAAGGTTAGGAGAGAGTAGAGAGGTGATGGAAACATACTTGGTCTCCTTCCTCAGAGCTGAGAAGAGAAGCTGGATCACCAAGTTCCACACTGTTCCACCACCCAAGGGTGAGGAGAAGCAGAAAATCTCAAGTAAATAGGTAAGTGTGATGGACTAGGGCCATGGAGACGATGGGAGGGCTGGAGCAGCTCTGCTCTGGAGACAGGCTGGGAGAGTTGGGGTGTTCAGCCTGGAGAAGAGAAGGCTCCAGGGAGACCTTAGAGCAGCTTCCAGGGCCTGAAGGGGCTCCAGGAAAGCTGGGGAGGGACTTGGGACAAGGGCAGGGAGGGATGGGAGCAGGGGGAAGGGTTTCCAGCTGGCAGAGGGAGCTGGAGCTGAGATGGGAGGGAGAAATTCTGTGCCTCCACCATTTCCTTGGACGTTACTTATAAAGCAAAGCCTTGAATGGAATTGCAAAAGAAGTTTTCATATCTTGGCCACTGAAGTGGTCTTAGAGAAGACTTTTACATCCTGAATGTGAGCACAGGTCTTATGCATCTTCCTGGTCCCAGAAACACAGGGATTCCTAGAATCTTGAAATTGGATTCATAGAATTAGAAGAACAGAAATTAGAATCATGTAATGAAGCATGAGAGATGTATTTATGCAGTGGATTTATCCAAGTCTCTCTTTGCTGTTTTGTGTTTGTTTGTTTTTTTAATAATTTTTAGGAAGAGCATCAAAAAGTTGGTTTTGAAGAACCTCAACAGCACCAACTTGTTCTCCCTGGTCAATCGTGAGAACGAAGACCTGGCTTCTCCATCCGAGTATCCCGAGGACGGGGATCGGTGAGTTGGGCTCAGAGCGTGTCCCTGCCCATGAAGGGGGGTTGGAACTCAATGACCTCTAAGGTCCCTTCCAACCTGAACCACTCTGTAATTCTATGAACTTCAGGCGAAGTGCAGCTGGAGGATGAGGTGTGGGACAGCCTAAACCAGCTCATTCCCCTCTGCTCAGTCGATGCCAAGGAGAGAACACTGAGCTTTAGTGAGATGGGGGGGGGGGCTTATCTCCCTGACTGCCAAATTCCAAAACAATCCCAGCTTTTCCAGGCATCCCCCTGCTCCAGAGAGTTCCTTCCAGCATGATCCACCCACAGACATGTTCCAGGAGGGCAAGGGAAGGATGGGAACCTGCAGTGAAGCACTCCTCTCAGGTGAAGGATCCTCCCAGGAGCTGGGAAACAGAAGTGGGAATCAAGACACCAGGTCCTCAGTCAGTGTCATGGCACCAGCTCATTGCACCACTTAGAACAGGAATTTGAGGACTGTGGCCTAAGTAACAAGAGCTCAGGCTTGTAACTGCAGCATCAAAGGAGCCAAAGCAGGTATCCACTATGCTGAGGGTATCTCCAGGTTCTGTGGCAGAGTAGAGGTCACTCAGCTATGCCACCAACCCTCACCCCACCCTGCTCCATCCCAGGCTCTGAACAATGATTTATGGGGACAAATCACACAGGACACAGTGACTCAAGCCACGTCTCCTCCCTTCCCCAGCCTCCAAAACAACAAGATTCTGGGAGTCTGAAAATAAATCAGTAAAGGAAGACAGTTGTTTCCTTCCCTGTGAGTATCAGGCTGTTACTCAGATCAGGAAGGAGTCTCCTATGTGCTGCAGCAAAGTCTTTGGAGAAGAGACATGGGAGATGAGAAGAAAAACCCAGCTCTGGTTGAAAGATTAAACTCAGAGTTGCAGTTGCACAGACTGCTAAAACAATTAAACACTGAGGCCTTCCAACCCTGGGAAGCAGGATGCCTCCACCCAGAACAAAGTCATCATACTTGGAAAGAGAAAAGTAAATAGACCTTCCACAATTCCCATTGGAATTCCACTTACAACCATCACTTTGGGGCCTACATAACTTTTGGAGCCAAGGGACACGAAACTCAACCCATGCAACAACCCCGCTCCAAAGATGACAGGAAACTTACCCCAAGCTCCCTTTTTTCTTGATGATTTTTGTCCTGCTCTTCACTTTATAACTGGAAAATGAGGCATCACCCACGGAGGGTTTTGTCCCACCCAGACCAACAGACCCAGTGCTCAGAGGGGGTGGGAGGCTGAGGGTTGGAGGCTTCTTCTGATCCTCAGATCGCCACCGGAACGCTGACCTGGAGGTGGAGGGTGAAGTCTGCAAGCTGGAGGCTTTCCATTTGTATTTGCTGGGAGAAACACCCAGTTTGGACTGCAGTCCTGATTTCTTCAGCTTTGCTCCCAAATCTGCTTTTGGTGAGAGTTTAAAACCTTTGTCCACTCCCCCAGCAATCTTCTTAGCACCTTCAGAAGCCCTTGGGCTGACCCATCTCTTCACAGGACGAGAGGATTTACCAGGACTTGCAACCCACGTGTAATTAGTTTTCCTGAACTTTGAAGCTTTGCTGGAGATGGATGTCGAGGCAGCTCTTTGGAGACCAGCAGCTTTGGGGACTGTGGAAAACCTGCCCTTCGTTGAAGCCAACCCAACCACTGAAGCAGCAGCTTGAGCAGGTTGAGAGCACGTCCCACCACTCCCAAGGAGCTTCGGCTCTCTGAAAACAACCCCAACTTGCTCACAACTGGACTGTCCTGGAGCTGGTGGTTCCACCTTCCTCTGTACCAAGTGCCAAGCTGGTTGGTGACCTGGCAACACCAAAGGCTCCTGAGGCTCTGACTTCAAGGTCACAGCACTTTCACTGGTGCTTCCACAGGAGGCAGGGGAGGTTCCGGCCACCTCGCTGGCCAGAAGCACCTTTCTGGGTTTCTCCTCCACATCCACGTAGGCTGAGCTGACAAATCGGTGAGAGGAGCTGAAGGAAACAGAAAGGGAAGGTCTTCTCTCTTCCTTCTGGTTGTTGTACTGAGGTGTTGGCACATCTTTCCCACCACCTGCAGCAGCCACCACCGTCTGCAGCCCCGAAAACTCCCCGTAAGAACTCACGGCAGCCAAACCTTCCCCATCTTCCAACAGACCAGCCCTCTGAGGCAGCTGGATCCCCACAACGATATTCCCATCTGTGGTTAAGTCCACGTGTCTTTCTGGGGACAATTCTGCTGGCTCAGGTCTCTGGTTCTCCTCATAACTTCCAAAAGCCTGAGAGGTGCCAGCACCACCAGCGCTTCCGGCATCAAACCCCGGTCCCGGTGGCCGGTTGACGAGGGAGTATTTTTTCTTCCAGGAGTGACTCTGGTGAAGCTGGAAGTCCCTGGGGGCTTGTTGGGGGTACCTGGCTGAAAATGCCCCCCTCCTTCTGTAGCCAGGCTGGTGGGGGTTGTTCCATCTCAGTGGCAGTGACCGTGGCACGTCCCCGTGTGTGTTTTTGTGGTTGTTTATGAGACCTGAGGAGAAGAAGACAAGAAAGACATGGAGGTGCTGGAGAAAGTCCAGGGAAGGCAACAAAGCTGGTGGAGGGTCTGGAGTCTTATGAGAAACATCTGAAGGAACTGGGATGGTTTAGTCTGGAGGAAAAGAGGCTGAGGGGAGACCTGATTGCTCTTTACAACTGCCTGAGAGGAGGTTGGAGAGAGGTGAGAGTCGGGCTCTTCTCCCAAGGAACAAGTGACAGAACAGGAGGAAATGAGCTCAAGTTGTGCCAGGGGAGGTTGAGAGCAGAGATTAGAAAATACTTCTTCACTGAAAGGGTAATGAAGCACTCTAACAAGCTGCCCAGGGAGCTGGTTGAGCCTCCATCCCTGGAGGGGTTTAAGAGATGTGCAGATGTGGTGCTGAGGAACATGGTTTAAGCCCTGGACTGGGGGAAGTTGGGTTTAAAAAAAGTCCCTGGTAATTTTATTTCCAGGTAACATTTCACAGCAGCCTCTGAGGAGCTGCCTGTGCATGTAGGCCAGCACATCAGCCCCAAACACAAAGCACAGAATCACAGAGGCATTTTGGTTGAAAAGACCTTCAGGATCCTCCATTCCATCTGTTCCCCCATCACTGCCAAGGCCACCACTGCCCCATGTCCCTCAGCACCATCTCCAGGGCTTGGAAACCCCTCCAGGGATGGGGACTCCCCCCCTGCCCTGGGCAGCCTGGGCCAGGCCCTGACAACCCTTTCCAGGAAGGAATTGTTCCCCAGATCCAACCTCAACCTCCCCTGGCACAACTTGAGGCCATTCCCTCTTGGCCCAGGGCTTGTTCCTGGGGAGCAGAGCCCGACCCCCCTGGCTCCAACCTCCTCTCAGGCAGCTGCAGAGCCAGCAGGTCTCCCCTCAGCCTCCTTTGCTCCAGGATCAACACCCCCAGCTCCCTCAGCTGCTCCTCATGACACTTGTGCTCCAGACCCTTCCCCAGCTTCTCTGCCCTTCTTCAAAAAAGCAACAAGGAGCCTCGAGGAAGCCCCAGCTTCTCCACATGTCCCTGCACATCCCTCTCCCCAGCCACTGCACCTTCCCAGTCCTTTGGTCTACTAATTAACTCATTTGGATAATAAGACACATGTCAATTAGGGAGGGTCTGAGCTGGTAAAGAAAACCCTCCCACCAAAAAGGGATTATCAGAGGATTCCTGAGCTTTAGATTTCAGGCACGTGTCAGCACAGAGAAGTTTTTGCTCCACCAGTGCTCAAAGAGCTGCCAGAAGAGCAACATCAGCAGATCCTTCCTGGAGGAGGCAAGGACCATGTTGTTCTCCTCCCTCATGCAGGAGTTCCTGGACAGAGGCAACACCCACGGCACACCCCCCCCTCTCATGCCCCACCCTGGGGCTCAAGCAGAGTTTGTGGCCTCACTAATGAGGAAAAAAATCACTTTGGGGTCTATAAATAGAGCTAATTATTGCCAAGAATAAGCAGTGATGCTCAGCAGGACCAGGAAAGGGCACACAAATGTCTTCCCCCACCACCACACTAAAGAGTCAAGGGACAGAGGACAAGGGGCACATCCCACCCCAGTGCCACCAGCTCCAGGGGCTGCAGAACAGGGGACAACCCCTCCCACCCCTCCCCAGAGGGGGGGCAGCAGCCCGGTGACCCCCAAAATCCCCCCAGTGCTCCCTGTTCTCTCCCTGCCCTGACCCACCTGGGTCCTCTCCATTCCCCCCTGCACTCCTGGCTCCCCTTCCTCGCCCCTT